TAAATCTAGCTTTTAAAATGCATTGTATTATTAAAAAAAAAAAAAGATTTTTTATTTATTTTAAATATATTTAACTTCTTTAGATGTTAGCGGTTCATTTTATGATAAAAATCAAAAAGTATGGAATGTAAATAATTTAGGTACTATACTTGATGATCTTGAAACTGAATATGGAACTAAAATTGAAGGTGTTAATACAGCTTATTTATATTTTGGTATGTGGAAATCAACATTTGCATGGCATACTGAAGATATGGATTTATATTCAATAAATTATTTACATTTTGGAGCACCAAAACAATGGTAAGAAAAAAAAAAAAAAAAATTTTTTCTTTCTCAATAATTCAAATACAAAAAAAAATATTATTTAGAATATTTTATTTTGAAAAGAAACTTTAATTAGGGTGAGATTTAAATTTCTATTTATTTTTAATTTTTTTTTTTTTGCAAGTCTATATCAATCTTATATTTTACATTTATAAAATAAACGATGTATTATAATCTTTAAATTTTTATATTCTTATTTTTGTTTTTGTTTTAGGTATGTTATTCCACCATCATATGGTAAAATATTTGAAGAATTTGCTGCTTTACGTTTTCCATCATTAGCACGTCGTTGTCCAGCATTTCTTCGTCATAAAATGACAATAATATCACCATCAATATTAATAAAACATTCAATACCATTTAGTAAAATGACTCAATATGAAAATGAATTTATTATAACATTTCCATATGCTTATCATTCAGGATTTAATTATGGTTTTAATTGTGCTGAATCAACAAATTTTGCATTAGAACGTTGGATTGAATATGGTAAACATTCTGTTCAATGTGCTTGTCGTCATGATATGGTTAAAATTAGTATGGATCTTTTTGTACATAAATATCAACCAGAACTTTATAATGATTGGTGTCGTGGAATTAATTTAACATCACATCCTGAAGATGAACAAATGTTAACAAATAATAAAATTATTATTAGAAGTTCACCAACAAAAAAACGTTTACCAATTAATCATAAATCAAAAAGTAAAATGAATAAGAGAAAAGAAAGTTGTTTTTTTTTTTTTAACAAAATAAACGCTTCTATTAACTCATTTAGTCATTGTGAAAAGTTTAAGAATTATATACTGATTGCAGACATCTTTTTTTTTGTCAATTAAGGTATGATGTCTGGAAAGTAGAATCATGATAAGATTTATAATTGAGCGCAATCTATTTTGATAACTATTAAGATTTAAGCGACCGTATAAATATTCTTCTTTTTTTTTTGTTTGAGTCAATATATTTTCAATTTACCACTAATATGACTCTTCTAGGACATGTTCGCGCTTGTTCAAATCGAACCATTATCCACTCTTCTAACTGTTGAATATATATCTTATTCAGGACGTAAAGATATATGTAAGAAGAATAGGATATTGACAAAATTCTCTCTGATCTATTCTTATTATCATTTTACTTGTGACTTATATTTGTTCACATAGCTTGAGATTTCTGAGTTCATGTTTATGAAAATGATATTAGATAGTTCTAATTATATTACAGAGCTACATTTGACTTCTTTGTATAAACATTTATTTTACTAAGATTTTTGTTCAGCATAATCAATGTCATTTCATAAAGTATTTGTCCATGATTAAATGACTTATTTATTTATCAATATTCTATTTAATCGAGAATGTTCCTAATATGAGAAAAGCATTGCAATTGATATCCACTGTTTGAGTTCATATTACATTGACAATAACGTCTGGTTAAATATATTCAGTTTATGCGTTGATAATAGTATGCAAATTAATGACTGAATAACTTTAAAGATGCTGAATTATTAAATTTATTGCTATATTGCTTTTTTTGTTTTTTTTTGTTAAGCTACTAATGATGCATTATTAACTGCAAAATCATCTCAATATTATCATCATGAACAAATATCTGCTGCACGATATGCATGTATATTTCGTAATTTAGCTAAATTTGATAAACTAAAACAATTATCAATATTTGAATATCCTAATCCACTTATACGAGTTGCACTTTGTCGTGCTCAATATAAATTAAAGAAAAATAAAAAGAAAAATTCAATAAAATTGTTATGTTTAACTGCTAATTTAGTATTAAATATATCTTCATTAACAAATTTAATAATTTTTAATGGTTTAGAAAAAGCAAATAAATATCGTGAAAATATTCTTAATGGTCTTTGGAATTATCAAATAATAAATAAAAAAATTGAAAAATTCTTTAATCAATGGTTAACATATCGAATATCAAATTGTTCTATATGTTATCTTTTTATTGCTAATAAACATGATAATGAATCATTATTAACAATAAAACATTTAATAATGTTAAACAATTTAAATAATAAATTTAATATTTCGAATGATTTACTTAAATGTAATATATGTCATGTTAGTGTACACCGAGAATGTTATGAAATTATATGTTTAGCATTAAATGTAGACATTAATGATAATTATGATCAATGGTATTGTCAACGATGTACTTTACAAAGAGAAGTAATTAAAAAAAAACAACTACATAGAAATTCTTTTTGAGTGTTTGTTGTTCTGTTTCTAATCTAGTGAGAAAGTTGCCAAAAATTGATATCTGCTTCTGAAGTTCACAAGAAAGTCTTTAAAAAAAACTCTAACAGGGTTCGTACTCGTAGATCTATAAACTTAATTTTTTTGGCAAACAACCATTTTTTTTTTCGGTAAATACTTAAAGCAGGATCGATGATAAATTGATTTCCAAGACTCTTATAGATTTCTTTCGTAGTCTTATGAAAATTTCATTATGAATCCAATATGAACTCAAAGGGTAAATCTCAGAATGTATAACAATTATATCTAATAGTGAAAAATATTTCCTGAGAAATTATGAACATTAAACTTTATATTTTTTGATAATTAAGAAATCGATATGAACTACAAAAAAATAAATTACTTAATTGCTATCTATCATAAGACTGGAAATATTTTCATTGAATACTGTAAAGAATCAGTTCTCTTTTGATTTTTGTATTTTTTTTTGATAGGTCAACTTAGAAGATACCATACAGTAGAAGTCTCCTTTAATCGATTAGGTTTTGAATATCATGTAAAAGAGTTCAAACTATTAGCGTATTGCTGTATAAATACTGCACATTTGTCGTAGTCCTTCTGAGAAAAACTAATTCCGTTTTCGACTTGAAACTTTGTATAGAAACAAACCTTAACAAGAATAGTTAACTGTAAAAGTATCAAACCGTTTGATTTGTTCCTGTCCTGGTATTAAAAAAAAATCATCGAATATCTGCCAGTGTATATGAACGATGCAAAAGAACAGAAAGACCTGAAACATTTACACAAAAAACAAAGTGCAATAGTCTTAATAATAAATAAACTAAGAGTCTGAAACTTTGTTTTTTTTTTAGAATATTCATAAATCATTTAAGTCCTGCTGAAAAGAAATTAATCTGTTAGAATATTTTCTATGATTAATTATTTTCTTTTTTATTTCTAAAGTCTTATTACAAAATGCTTGATGATCGTTGTTCAGCTTGTTTATTACGTGGTGGTCTTCTTCTTAAACCTAATTCATCATCATCATCATCATTTATTCATGCCATATGTTCAATATATCAAGCTTATGAACAATCATCATCATCATCATCCTCACAAATAAAATCATGTTATTATTGTTGGTCATTTTGTCCTTTAAATTATCGTCGTATATCAACTTATAGTTTTGTTTCATGTAATCATACTAAATGTAAAAATCAATTTCATGTAACTTGTGGTCTGATTAGTGGATGTACATTTTATATTGACCATGATTATTCAATAATAAATGCTCGTTGTCATCTACATACAAGACCTCATCAATCTTCAATGAATATCAACAATCTACAAACATCAATAGATAATATTGATTATGAAACAGCAGAATGTCTTGAACATCTAATCGATGATGAAGAACAACAACAGCAACAACAACATGAAGATGATGATAATGATGATGAAATTGTTGCTGAAAATGAACGTGTACCTATTGGTACACGAGTTATATTGAATGATATAAATGAACAAAAACTAGGTCGAATTATGTCAAATGAAATAAGTTTTCATTATGCTGTTGATTTTGGTGATGGAAGTTATAGTCATGATATGTATGTAAATAATGAAGAAAAAAAAACAAACAAATCATGAATTCATTTTTTTTTATTTAAAGGCTTGCTGAAGATATTCTTAATTATGATCCATCTATTGAACCTATAACACTTATTGTTGGTTCAAATATTCGTATAAAATGGACGGATGGTAAAATATATTCATGTAAATATTTAGGTCGTAAACGTGTACTTTTATATCATATTAAAATTGATAATGAAACAAGACAAATGCGTCGAAGTGAATTTTCATATGATATACAACCACCATCACCACCATTAACACCAGGTCAAAGTCAACGTGAACATAATTATAGTCGAAGACAACCTTTAACAACAAATCGAAAACGACAACGTCAACGTAAACAACAAAAAAAAACTAAACGAAAACGACGATGTGTAGTTTTATCTTCATCATCATCATCATCAGATGAATTTTAGAGTTTTTTGTTTTTTTTTCGATGTTTAATACTTAATTTTGTTATCTTATTATCAAATGCATAAACAAACATATATTTCTTTTTTCTCAGCATATACAAATTCTCATATGTATATATATATATATTTTCTTTTGCTGAGTTCCGGTGATATATATATAAATATATGTCACTGTAGTTTTGATTTTGTAGTCATTGTATCGTGTTTGCTATATTTGATTTTTTTTTTTTTTTTTTTTGTGTCATATAATTTCTCTCTTTTTTTTAATTTATGTAGAGAAAAGAGACGTAACGAAATAACAAAAAAAATTATTTTAAAACTATAGACAAATAGATAATAGACACTTGATAGTTGTTGTTTAACATATGATGTTGGTTACGTATAATGTGAATTCCAGCTGTGTAACAATGATTTATTTATGTGTACTATGATCGATCGGATATAATGGCAGAAGAAACTAACTAGTGCCTTTTGAACTTTTCTTCTCTTACTTTATCATCATATCACTATGATCATCAAGAAGATAAGTATGCTGTTCAAAAAAAAAAACATGCAGCATTGATTTTGATAGGAAATGAATTAGACAATGAAATCTGATTGGAAAAGTTCAAAAAGAAAAATGTATGTGTATGTATAAATCCTTTTTTTTTACGATTTTTCTAAAAAAAAAGTTTCTTTTTTTTTGTTATAGAATTCATATGTATACAGGGTCAATTCGATTTTGATCTCAATTCCCTATAGAATATTAAATGTGAAGATAATATTTTTTTTTCCCCGAACGCATCATTTAATAATCGATCTATAATCGTAATCTTTAAATTAGAAAACAAATGTTATTTAAATCTCATTATATTTCTCATATCCATTATGAAATGAAATGAAAAAAAAAAGAAAGATAATTATGAAAGAAAATGTATAGTTAGTCATTTTACGTCTAGACTTCTACATTTATCCTTTTTTTCTCTCGTTTTTTTTTTTTTGTTCTTCATAATTCCAGCCTTAAGTAATATTACTGGAATTCATAAGAAAGTTTTGATGATTTATATATATATATACATCTTCCGTTAAATGTCATGAATTGTCTATTCTTAAATTGAATTGATTCTCTTGACAATGAAAGACAAACAGTATTATTATGACAAAAGAAGCATTAGGGCATCAGCATGCCGCTATTATTCTCATTGAACAAATGGTTCATTGATGTGATGCGATGTCTTTTGCTCATCGCGTGTGTGTGTGTGTGTAGATAAGAGGCGGGCAGCTGACTGGTTTGTTTCACTGTCGACATGTGTCAGCTTATATGTTTACTTGGCAAGCATCACTATCGTTCTCAATTAAATGATCACTACACTTCCTATTTGGTCGAAAAAATTAAAAAACAGAGAGATACATGTTATTTTCTTTCAAATACGCAGATGGTACATATAGCCTCTCGTCATCTATTTTGTCACCTCAATGTTCATTCGAATGATTGAATAAAATTGAACACATAATTTTATTTGACACTTGCAATTCATGAAACTAATCATTCGAAAAGGATTCATTTGAGTTCATATTGTCTAATGTTGTGAATGATAAAGTGTGTGATGTGCAAATAAGCGCACGCATATAGAGATGAATATCAATTGTTATAATAATAATACTATGAAGATAATTCAAGTGAATAAATTAATTGCTATCAAAAAAATCTCTTAATAACAAATTATTTTTAGAATAACATTGATAATTATCAAGAAATAAAAATAATTCTTTCTTATTTATGTATCTTTTATTTTATATTTAAAAATAACAAATAATTAATATTTTTGAAATTTCTACATCACTTTCATATATCTAATATGTTATTTTTTTGTTTTTGATTGTTTCATTAAAGCCAAGAAAAATTTATTTGAGCAAGTTGTTTAAATTGTTGATTACATGTTGAATATAAATTTTTTAATTTTTCATAAGTTTCATTTGATATTAATGGATGTTGTCGACCTTTTGATGAACCTAAACATCCATTTGGTTGTTTTATACAAGGAAAACCACGTTTATTTAAATTAAAATAAAAATGTTCTTGTTGAATATGATTTGATATATTTAAAAATTTTTGTACATATTCAAGTTCTTCCCATGGATGTTGAATTAAATTTTCACCATTAACAAAATGTATTTGTTCTAATGAAAAATATTTTAACCAACGACGAAGATATATAACATAACAACCAATTTTAATTGGTGTCCAATGAGTAAAATTTTTCATTGATATAAATTCATCAAATGTTGGATAAAATTCATGACGACTTTTTATTTGTACATAATCACTTATAGCTCGTATAATTGGATCTCGTACAATTAATATTAATTTTATATTAGGTAATAAATGAAATATACGTCCTGGAGTTTTTCTATCAATAAAATAATGTGGAGTTTTTTCTATAGTTAAATATTGACTATTTTTAATTATTGGCATTTGATTTCTAAAATAAAAATAAAAATAAAAACCAAATAACTAAACTCATTAATCATTCAACACGCTTTTTTTTTGTCTTAAGGTGTAATCGTTCAATTATACGATTATGATCATGGCATGTATATAGACATGATAAATGAGAAAACAGAAGCAACAACATATATGTATAGATATATGAGACGTCATACTGTGATGATGATAAGATAAAGACAAGGAAGTGAACCGAATGTTTCCTATTCGCATCGGCGCACCTTTTTTTCTCCTCTTTCTCTGATCAATTTCAGTATTGACCTCCTGTTGCGAACAGTCAATAATAAATTACACTAATTCCTTTATTTCTTTTTTACTATGAAAATAATTCATCTGGAAATCAAGTGATTAGATTGAAATCGGAAAAAGATCATTGAAAGTAATCAAAATCTCATGTTATTTTTCGAGTGGATTGTGAATGCATAGATATTCAAAGATCTGTTCAAAACTTTAAATTACAAGAAACAAAAAAGATAAATGTCACATTTCTCAAGATAATGGTTTTTTGGGACGAGAATGAAGGCGACTCAGCAGTACTCCATTACCTCAAGTGTCCCGAGTGCATCTTCTCACTCGATGTTTAACTTCCTACCAATTTTTTTTTACAGTTTCATGGTAATTTTAGATAAGAATCGGATCTTTCTCTGACTTAATTCTAGCATTTCGATTTTTACCTTCTCACATATCAAGAATCCAGAACTATATGAAAAAATTTTTTCTAATTGAATGCTTTTAGTTTTCGTGTGTATATGGATCTATTATATACTTTATCCTTTTCTATTTTCCGATTGAATGAGCTTCTTTTCTTTTTTTTTTTTTGTTTTTTTCAATTAAAATTTGCCGCCCACCTGATGCGATCAAAAAGGGCACATCTGCGCAATCTATTTTACATAAAAACTCTATGTTCGCGTGCCATATCAATTTTTATTCTTTATTCTATATAGTATATAATAAATAGAAGTAAGCCTGCAGGGAAGTTTCGATTACATAGAATGAAACACGCAAGATCATTTTTATTCATTCGTACTATTTTATATATTTTAATGTACAGAAATAGTGTAAAAAAAGAAAAATCGATTTCATGCTAGGAATGTTACCGAATATTTTACTCAAGTAAATTATTGATGTTAGTGTAGTGACTGTCATTCTTGCTCTCTCTAATGATAGAGATCATTATGCATGCTTGAATAGATTCACTAGTATATTTTATACGTCCCATCTCTTACGAATGCGCATATGTGCACTTGAAAGAATAGACGCGCTCACATCTAAACTCTTGAGACTATGACTTTAATCTATCTGTTGTTTCAACTAATAATCTCTATAGTAAAGTTAAGCAAAAGAAACTTAAAATTTACATACCGATACCAATTAAGACCGTGTTGAAAATTTTTTGGTGAATCAAAAAAATGAATTTCTGTTGATGAAACAGCTATAGCTGGATGTATAGATAGGAATTTTAATAAAGCTCGTGTACCACACTTTTTTACACCAATTATAATTGCTTGTGGAAGATTTGTTGAATTTGTTACTTCAGATGAAGAAGATATTATTGTTGATATAATACAAACAAGTATGATTACTACGATCATTCCATTACGTCAATTGAAATAGACAAGACAACACTTGACCGACATCCGAATGACTCGTTGACCAGTAACTAGTTAATTGATCTTCGACAAGACACTATGATTACATATATACATACATACATTGTGATCTTCTTTTTTTTTTCTCCGGAAGAGAAAGAGAAAAAAAAAGAGGGGGAGAGAGAGACAAAGAAGAAAAGTCGTTTCTCTTTCTCCCTGTCTCTCGTTTTTGTGCCTATCAATGAAGAGTTCATATACGTTTTATTTGTTGTGTTGTACCCCTATTGAGCTTTTCTTTTTCCTCTATTATTGATTGAACGTGTGTTTGTATGGCAAGCGAGTGTCAAATACGAAACGGATCAAAGTACCCTTGATTTTGTCTCTGAACAAACAATACATGCATTCAATGAGAAGATTCATAATCCCACCCATCGTCTTCATTTGCTTTGGGTGATGTTCATATGTGATATCATAATGAATACAATCGCGCTCGGTCGAATGTATTAAAACTATACAATAGAGAAAAAAATAGTTTCATTTATTTTGACTAATATAGAATTTGATATATTACAAAAACGAAAACAAAGGAATATTATAATAAGAAATCTAACAGATCTACATATCTATGATGCAATAAAATGCGCACAAGGGAGAATGAATGTTTATCGAAAAAAAAAAAAAAAAGAATATATATATATGTGGGACCAATTAGCTGTGCATATGTGCAAGCACATAAAACAAGAAATCATTATGATGATAGGCACACGTGTTGTACTTGTTTGTTTATCGTTGCAGTTCATCAACTGAAACGATCTCTGTTAACACTTTCTATAATTATTTTACTTTAGGGTTACATATGACATTTATTTCAAAGACTTATGAAATTATTATTTATATATTGATTAAATATCATTTAAAACAAAAAATGTTTATATAATCGATTTGTAAATTTGATATTGTTTGTAAAGAAAAAATGTTGAATACATCCGATATGTAAGAATGTTTCTCATCCATAGTTAAATGAATTCTATTGTTTTCTTTGATTTCCTATTGATAATGAGAAAGGAAAGTAAATAATATAAGTCAATGAAGGATCAATATCACTTCCGAAATTTTGTTTGAACATTTGAAACAAAAAAATAGATTCAAATAATATTGAATCGATCAATTTTCTTGAGAATTCTACATTAATAAAATTAAATCTTATCATATATAAATAGAGCTAAGATCAGAATGACACAATGATAATGCTGAAGAACTTAATTAATCACAGGACATATGATATTCTATTGAATAGAAAATATACATGCGTTAAATGAATGTCTGCGAGAAAGAAAAGATGAGGTATGTCATCATCTTTCCAAGATAAGTTTCAAAATAATGACAAAGTGCTAAATAGATAAGAGCTTGACGTATCATTTTCAAATCTTAGCATAAGAATTTTGTTCTAATGTAGAATTTTAACAAATATAACCATAAATATATCTAATTTTATTGAAGAATTGACATTAATATAAAAATCAAGATATCATCTAATGAATTTTCTTCAACAATCATCCTTTGTCTTTACTGAAGAAAAAGTGCTACTAAATGTACAAACCAATAGAGGGCGTTGCGTATTTCTTTTATTCTCTGCAAAAAAAACAACAACAACAACAACAGCAACAAATGTAGGTGGCATAGTCCTTGAATATTACATTGATTAGTAATATTTGCTTCTATTTTCGTTTGACGTCCTTTTTTTTTATTTTATAAAATAAATCTTTGTTTGATTGATTTACATCATCTTTACGATAACATACCGTCATAAGATTTCTTTTAAAAACGAGTCATACTTCAAAATTTCCATATATTAACGAGCATCAATAAGAAAGAAAAAATAGATGTTTTAATTTCTTTTTTTGCCTAGAAGCTATACCATTCAGAAAGATTTTTCTATGAGATAAAGAAAAAAACGTATGACCTTTTTCATTGGCACAAATCTTTCTTTTCTTTTTCTTCTTATGATATTAGACTTTCGTCATACGCTTGTTGAATAAGAATGACGTCATGAAAGTCGAAAAAAATTCCCTTCGTTCTCTTTCTTCCTCTCTGTAAAAACAAGACATCTCGTTTTATTTTAATGAATAATTTGAATTATTCGCAGTCTTGATTTGACGCGTTTTATTTTTATTTATTTATTTTTTTTTTGTACATCGTACTTTTTTTTCTTTGGCCTTGAAAAATGAAGCGACAAATGCGAAGATCTTTAAAAAAGATCGAAAGAAAATTAAGTCAAGCACGAGATTTTACTGCAAATTTCATACGTAGTAATAGTGCTTATCATTATGATTATCATAATACACATGTGTCTTCAGTGGTATGTAAAACTTTATGAATTCATATGGACTTTTAGTTTGTTTTCTTTTTTTTTCTAGACTTCATCAAATTTATCTGATGATGATGACGATAATGATGCTGTATTCGGACCAACAACACCAGTCGAGTGAGAATTTTATACAAAAAAAAAAGAGAACAAAAATAATGAATTTTTTGTTTTAGTGATAGATCGTCTACGGATGATGTTCGAAGAACGTCAGAAACACTTATTCCTTGTGAATTTTGTCAATTGCAACAATCAGCTGATCGTATAATGCAGCATGAGGTAAAAAGATTTACCTATTTTTTTCTGTAATTAGTAGCTTTGTTAAATGTAAAAATTACATTGATTTCAGGTGAACAAATCTAGAAATTTTATATTTGTTAATATTTATTACAGACATATTGACTTAAGTTTCATTTCTTTTTTTCTTTGATAAAATTAAAAGAAAATATTTATTTTCATCTTAAAATAGTGGGGTGAATAATATGATCATATTATATAGACTTATAATTTTGATTTATATCATCGAAAATTTTCTTTTTTTTTCTTAAGTATTGTATTTATGATAATAAGATAAATAAATTCAATAGAAAAGAAAATATTGTTTTACAATTATTAACTTGCATATAATTGACGAAAGAATCTCCTACAGTAATTCATCAGTTTTTCACTTCATTACCTAGGCTTGTCAAGAAGACTTTGAAGTTCAAATAATCTCAAAAAAAAAAAAAAACTTATCGAATTCATCAGGTTTCTCTATAGTGTTACAATAGGTTTGTAGGATTGTTATGATAGAATATAGTATTATGAGAAAAATTGAACGACGTAGTTCTAATTTAATTAAATATTGAAAGAAGGAAACCATCATATTGACGAAAAATTTTAGATCAACAGTATATTATTCGATTTCTCTAACCTATAGTAAAATTTTTCTTAACTCTATAGAAACGATCGAAAATTTTGTAAATTTTTTTTTCATATATTAGTTTTGAGGAAATACAAACGTTCCGTACGGATGAAGTCTACATAAATTCTAGTTACTCATGTTTCGGAAGTAAGAACGCAACTAATATTCATTCTTAATCAATTATTGTAGTTTATAATTATGAATCATGTATTGTCTTCATCTTATTATAATAATATCTCACAAGCTAAAAATAAACTATGTTAATTATTAAAAATATCTATAAAGATTTTTCTTAACATAAATATATTTGAATAAAGCGATAAAAATTCTGTAATCACTGTAAGTTTGACTCTCATTTTCAGCATATATTCAATTGAATTTTCATACATTCTATACATTGTGTGGGATAGGTATTTTTCTAATTGTTGAGTAGATTTTATAGAAAAAGAATACAAAGATATTCACTCCAAACAGTTTCTAGTGTCTGTAATAAAATTTTCAGCTC